CATTTTCTGAAAATAAATCTGACTGGGAAGGTACTCTAAGGAGGTAAATTTTTGATTTTTCCATGAGTTTTCTTAATAAATGGGAAACATCGGAAAAAGCCATGGGAAAATCGATACAATACTAAACAAATTAAAGAAAATATTTAATGCCTATTTAATTATTTTACTATAATATGACATATATATTGTTGACAAAGTATCACTATCAACTGAACAGCACTCAGAATCATTTTTTCGTTAGCAGTTAGCAATGGTTAGTCGTGAAAGATGTACATTAAATTACCTATAACAGTGGCTGTATCCGATCCTATTTTTCTAGGAAGTTTTTTTTGTAATTACAAACACTTGTTAATCTTATTTTATTTGTTTTAATTAAAAATGTGGAAGTGATATGGATTTAAGTTTTTTATGCGTGATTTTTTGTATATTTTACGGTTGAAAATAAATTTATTAAATATTTTAGTTTTTCTTTTAATAAAGTAAAGGATTCAAAATTTCACGTTACAGTCAAATCTAGTGATGTTTTATTTAAAGCCATGTATTGTGCTGCTTAACATATTTCGTTAACGGGAATAAAAAAATATCTTCACCAGAATGTATTTAAAGAACACTTTTTTTATTTTTGTGGAAAACATATTTTTAACTCATACAGTTGTAATTTTTGCCATAAACACTCTATAAAATGAAAAAAAAAACATGCATACATTTCAACATCATAGTATAATCCTTTCAATGATTTTATAAATGCCTGTTAGAAATAAATCATATTTTGGTTATACATTTGGTCTAAGTATAATTATTTGATTTATTACTTTAGTTTAAAATAATAATTTCATTTTATTACTTATTTTCTTGGACTCTATGGAAAAATTGATTTCCAAAAATAATGAAAAATGTAATATACTAGGTTTATATAGATGTCATTCTTTTAAAAATTCAACTAATTTTGTTGAATCTTTAAAAAAATATTTATTCAGTAATAAAAACAAAAATACTACTTTTATTTGGCATTGATTTGTGTAATACTAATGATAATATCTCTAAATATTCTAATGTGTTAACAGCTTTTAATTTGTATCAAACTATCAATAGACTAACTCGCGTTTAAACCTCTAATAGTTTCTGTATTTATCACATACATATAATAATTTAAACAAAAATTATATTTGTATTCATGTTTTGAAATGTAGTATTGCAGATCATTTTGGTACTATATATTGTTTGAATCTTAGTGAGAATTTAGATAACAGTCATTCTTATTATATTAATTATGACAATAACTTAGATTCGGTGTACATAAACTTTAATAGCTTAAATCATTTAATCTGTACATTTTACTGGGAATTTGAAATTCTATAATTAAAAAAAAAAATAATAAAGGTAATAAATGTTTAAATTAAAACCCTGAATCAATAGAGGTTTGATAACTTCAATTAGAATTAGAGAAAAACACTTTACTGGGGTATTTATAAGTATTAATATTTCTGAGGATATAAAAAAAAATGTGATTTGGAATTAACTTGTGGCAATGCCACAAGTCTATTCTTTGGTCTCCTGTTACCAAAAGTAAAATAATTAGTTTTCTTAAGAATATTATATAAAATAACAACTATAATATAAATTTGATTACTAAGTTTTCAGAAATATATGTCATGTTATAGCATTCCCTTTATCAATTATTTTCAATAAAAGTTTTTTTTCTGGAATATTTCTTAATATACTTATTTAAAAAATTTCTAATTATCTTTAATGTATAAAAATGGTGATGTAAAGTAATTATTGTAATTATATATGCAATAATTACAGACCAATTGTTTTGACCTTATCAATTAGTAAAATCTTTGAAAAATGTATAAAAAATGAATAATTACATTTTTAGACATGAACAATTTTTTTAGTAGTAATCAATTTGGCTTTAGGAAGGGATTGTCTACCAACCATGCTTTGTTTAATGTAATAAAATACATTTATGAGAACATTAATATTGGTAATATTTTATTGATGTAAAGGTTTTTGGTTCCATATACTAAAATATTATGATAAAAATATTGGAGTTCTGTGGTATTCGAGGAATACCATTAGATTAACAATCGGAAGGGATTTAAAAGGGATGACTCTTCAATATGATCAGCTAGGCATCTATACATCAAGTATATCTTTGCAGTATTTGTTGATATAAAAGAGTAGTAAAACGCTAAAAATTAGGCTTGGACCCCGTACAAGTTCCTTCTATAATAGTGTATTGGAGAGCCATCCCTTTTTTAAAATTCCTTCCGATTGTCACTAAATTTGGTGAGAGTGGTTTGAGGTAGCCTATAGAGACCGTTTTCAAAGTTTGGTTGTGATCGGATGAATTTCAGGCAAGTCCCTTGGAAGGGATTTTCTAGTATCAAATTATGAAGAGAATTTGTGTGGGGTGATGAATAAAATTATTTAGCGTTGAAACAATTCTCTTATCACTAAACTCCGCCAAGATATACTTAATCCAAAAATGAGAAGTGGGGTACTTTTAATATGAAGTGCATCTAACATACTTATATATATCAGTGAAGATCCCGCATAGGTACGTTGAAAAACTTCCAAATTGTGGTGCTTAAATGCTCCAGGAATTTTATACATAAAATTATCGAACCGAGGGGTATGGTAATGGTAAGAAAATTATCATACCACAGCAAACGAATTCAGAGGGTGTATATATTCTAACATTATGCTATCAGTCAGATATGATTATCCTAGCATAATCGTACCAAGAGGGGGGGGGTTATGTTCTTTGGTACGAAATGCCTGCGAGACTTGTGTAAACTAGGCTATTATTCAAAAGAAACAATCAGTTTCCACTACATGATATTCTTCGTTAGCGGCGGTAGCTGGCTGTTCGGGCTGTACGTACAGTAGTAGTAGTGCTGTACGGGAGGACGGCGGTCGGCGTGGTGATTCAATATTCGTTTGTAGTATAGTATGTAGTAGTGTATTAGTGTAAAAAGACGTCCTAAGTTTATGGGGACGAGTGAACCCATTTTTATTGATAATTTAATGTATACTTAAAAGTAACGATAAACTATTGCTTACGAAAAACAATTTTGAGTAGAGTTTATAATGATGCTTTGTCAACAATATATGTCATTTTATAGTAAAATAATTAAATAGGCTATAGATTTCCTTTAATAATCTTTGTTTAATGTTGTACCGATTTTCACAGTTTTCCTACGTTTTTCCCATGTTTTTTTTCGGTTTTTCGAATTTGATGAGAAAACTCTTGAGAAAATTTTGAAACATTTAAAGATGTGATTTTTTTTTTAAATCCTATAATTTAATTGGATTATTTGACTTATTATTATAACTTGAATGTACATAATTAGGTACATGGTTCCCAGACTATTTTTGGCGGAAATGAAAATTGTACCTTTTTTGTTTTTGGCAGAAAAGAGTTATGCGTAAATTAGGGAACCGGATTTTTTTGCAGAAAAGGGCCATGCCCTTTATATTTAGTATACTTATCCACACCTGTATAGTAGTTGCAGAACCATAGGCGGACTTATGCTCTTGATTATTCCTATTCTTATATACCTGTATGTTGTGTGTGATACCATGTTTCGCCCTACATTTGACTGTGAACCGTCGTGGCTCTCTATAGTGTCCCGCCGTAGGGACAACTTGTAATAAATCATATAATTGCATTTTGAAGCGCTGACTTTCGCAATATGCCGTTGACTTTTGACCAATTTGCTATTGATTACAATAGTTGTTTATACGCCTGGTAAAGTTGCCAATAAAACCTTGTATATTGAGCACTCACGTTTACTTTGGGTAATTTGCATAAGTGTACACATTGGGACAATTTATCGAAACCCACAATAACCATATTCCACCTCACATACCTGAATAATAATTTATCCAAACCTCTTTTTTTGGTTTATTCACCATATTACAGCTGAAGATATTCAGGTAAACTTTAAGTTGTTTTGCAGATCAACGAGGTAAGTGAAAATTACTCTTTCTCCCGTAATAGAATAGTATTTAAATTTTTTTTATGTTAGGGTAGACAATCGCGTAATATAGAAAACGTTCGTTCAAAAATTTATTTAAACATATATTTACACAGAATTGGATGGCCTTCGGACGATATACAATAATAACCCATAGTATATCGTTTAATTTGATTACATATTGTAATACAAATATATAGTTCACCACATATCGAAATAAAATCACTTTAAACAAATTATGATTTTAATAATAAGGCGAGGATGACATCAGACATTTTTGAAAAATGGTTACTCGATACTGATAACAAAATGAGTTAAGATAAACGAAAACAAATTGTTTGTAGATAATTGTACCGCTCATCCTCGTACACTTTCTACAAAGTTAAAATCTGTTACACTTGCATGTATATAATACAATAATGTAATGGATACAATATAATACAATAATAAATGAAAGTAAATAGGTAGGTAATCCCTACGACTAAATAACAAATACCGTACGTAGAAAATATTTACGTCTAGTTGGGAAATTCAAAATGATTTATAAAAACACAATAAACTCAAATATAAACTATAAAATAGTATTAATAGTAATTATCTAACGTAAATGCGCTTTTTAAATTACAACTACATGACCGATTTAAAATAACTAAATATTGTTTCTTTCTTTTTAAGCTGGGATGTAGCACTTAATTTGCCATATCGCATCCCCCCCCCCTACAATGGATTTTGCAGCGAAAATTACTAGTTGCGAATTTCAAAAACATATATAGTTATAGTTATAAATAGTTGCAAATCAGTTCAAAGTAATGGTACTAATTTGGAGTCGATAGGCGGATATGGTGGGGCTGCGTGAAAATGACCCTCCCACCAGTTAAATCGGTTTTGCGGCTGATATATTTGGTTACAAGTTCCAAAACTTTGGTTGCAAATTGTTGCAAATCAGTTGCAAAATAATGGTATCAGTTTGGAGTTGATATGTTAATGGGGGGGGGGGAGGCAACTTCACAGACGTCAAATTTCGCACCCATACATCACCATGGGCTTAATAAAAGTTCTACACAGTTTTATTTTTAGGCTCCTAGACAACATTCTTGACGTATTCACTCCAAAATAGTAACTATTTCCCGCCCGTATTCTTGCTTTTATTTTCTCTTGTATATTCTGAGTTATAAGTGTATCTAGGTTTCTTGAACTTCTGCACACTGTTAAATTTATATGCTCCACTTCCAGATGAGTTTGTACATCCTCCAGCGAAATTGCCTTCTGAGTTATCATGTACTCTGTTTTTTTCACGTTTATTTCTAATCCAACTATTTTTGCTACCTCAATTAATTCTTGAGTTTGTTCAACGAACTCCTCTTTATTTTTCGCTAATAACACTGAATCATCAGCACTCACCAGTAGTCCAAACTTTGTTTCACCTACTTGTAATCCTTTTTGTTCAAAGCTAGTGCTTTGTAAAACTTTTTCTAGTGCTAAGTTAAATAAAATCGGTGATAATGCATCCCCTTGTCTTAATCTCGTTCTGACTTGGGCTGCTGTTGATAAGGACTGTGGTTTTCCTACCTGTATTTTTATTACTGTAATCATGAGATTGACTAATTTTAGTGGGAGACCATATTGCTCTAGTATAGACATTAAAGATTCACAATGCATGCAATAGTAGGCCTTCTAAAAATTAATAAATAATATGTGAACTTCTTTGTTATATTTCCTCATTGTTTGTAAGATAAGTCTTAGTATGAATATTTGGTCAATCGTCGATCTATTTTTTCTAAAGCTTGTTTGGTAGTCCCCTAGTAATTCTTCGGTCCATCTCACCCTGTCTAATATAGAGTTTGACAATATTTTATAAGTGACATTGAGAAGGATTTTACCTCTGTAATTACCACTCATTTGCCTATTACCCTTCTTGTAAATTGAACATATAATTGTCCTTTTTCAATCTTCCGGAATCACTTCTTTTTCCCACATTTCCTTTACCAACAAATATATGTATTTAGTTAGTTAATTTCCCATGTTCTTTAATAGCTTTCCGATAATTCCATCTTCTCCAGGGGTTTTATGGTTCTTTAAAAACCTTATTTGCAATAAAATCTCTTCTTTGTCGGAGCTGGACAATTTGTTAGGTTTCTCTGGAAATCATCAAATGGAAATGGATCCCCAGGTTCTGGACAATTTAAGCGTTCTAACCCACTTATCTGATAATTCATTATCAGCCATGATTAACGAACCGTCTTCGTTCCTCAGAAATATTTCGGATTGCTTGTAATTTTTACTCAGAGCATTTATTTTCCTGTATAAGATACGAGTTTTATGACTTGCATAATTTTGATCTATTTCTCTTACTAAATTTTGTACATGTTTTCTTTTTTCGCAACTAAAAATATTACTTGCTTTCCTTTGTTTGGTCATGTACCATGTCATCCGTGTTTTTCGTATCGTTTGGCCAATTATTTTTTGTGATCATTCTTCTCTGTATGGCTCCTTCGCAAATTATATTGAACCACGATTTCTTTAATCAAAGTTCTCTCTACCTATTGTCTACTTACCGGTTGTATCTTGAATTACACCTCAGATTTGTTCACCTTTCTTCTATTTCGTTACTTTCCCACCCTACTTGTTGGGATCTTATGTTTTGTCTATTCGTAATAGATAAACATTATGAATAGTGGGCTCACCGAGTTTTTGAACATCAAAATGCCCTTTAGTTCCTATTTTCTTTGAACCATGTGCCCTTTTGATTGTAACTTCCAATATACCCACCACTAACATAATTATCACAGTCACAGTCCACTACTCGTGCACTTCTTACGTCTAGCACTGTATTTATAAATCTTGAGTTTACTAACACAAGATTTATCCGATTGACATATCGTCCATTAGGGAGATCACCGAGTACCTTTATGGATATTTTTGTATAGAAACATGGTGATTTTTATTCTAAGATCGTTTTCTGTAGCAAAGGCTACTAGTCTACATCTATTGGCATTCGATACTTCGTGTAAGCTATGAATACCTAATATAAGTCTAAAGTAATTTTCTTTTCCAATTTTCGCATTGAAATCTCCTATACTCCGGCCCATGAGAGATCAGTACTTTCACACGCATGCAGAATGACTGACATTGACAGTTTGGAGCTCCGTTTTCCCCACTATGTGCCGCAATCGTAGCGCGCTGTGACATATATACAGAGTGATTAAAGTGTGTGTTTATAATATGTGGCAGGTTTGTTCACATTGATGAATTCATTGACTTTCATTTTTAAAATATTATTACAACGCAAATAAAATAATACAAAATTAAAAAAGTTAGAGTACATGTAAATATACAACGGGCTCCTCACTACAGCAGTCTGTATACAGTTTATTTTACGCCCCATAGTGCATATCGTTAAGCGTTGATGACCGTCACCGGAACGCTGTTGACTATTATAGGACGCTGTCGGTGGGCTGATGGGGGATGCACGGAATCGGACGAGTTTTGGTCGAATAACGGTACTGATCTATTATGGGTAGGAGTATAGAATAATTTGTTTGAAATTTGCCGGTATTTCATTCAAGATATTATTAAGTAATGAGTAAAATTCATCTTTTTCTATTCCTTATTTTTTCTCCGTTGGAGTATATACATTCACAAATGCTATACTGAACTATTTGGCTACTATCATTAGCACAGTGATTTAAGAACTTATTACTTTAAAATCTTTAACATAGTTGATGCATGTTTTGTTTACAGCGAAACCGCTTCCCCAATCTTTTATTATCGCATGTTCCATAAAATAATGTAGCATTTTTTAATCGTATTGATCCAGTGTCACTCCATCTTATTTTTTGTAGTGCTACAATTCCAAGTTTATACCTTTCCATCTTATCTACTAATGTTCTTACTGCGTCAGGTTTAAATAAAGTTCGTATATTTCAAGTATCAAAACGCAAAGCCGAATTTCAGTTTTCCAGTCAAACCTGTAGTGCTAATCGCTTAGCGACCCCCTGATATCTCAGTGGTATAAGTTGTATTTAGAGGTAAAAAAAAAGAAAGTAGAAAGTAATGTAGTAATTTTTGTTTTTATTATGGTATGGCCTTTTAAATCATGTATAAATGAATTTTGCTTAGATTAGTTTTTATAGCAATGGTTTATCGTTGCTTACAGATATACATAAATTAAATAACATTATGTATCCTACCTTTCCAATTACCCACATACAACATTGGCACCCATTAGCAGTATCAGCTCTTTTTTATTCAGTTTACCACTCTCTTAAATTATCTTCAGAATTTTCAGATTTGCTATTAGGTATTTATAATAATCCCCGTACAAATATGTAATGGGTAATGGAATTTTACACTTTATCCAAATTTATTCATTATTCCGTAAAAACGATGACATAATCTTACTATTTTGGGTTTTAACCTGTGCTAGAATAAAATACATAATAATAAGTATGGTATATAATGAATTATGGTTTATACAATAGTCTTCATTTTTTATCGGTCTGCACAATGCATTATCAAGATTCATGAGTCACATGGACACGTCTTCTCATCTTTTAACACATTATCCAACATTCGTCCAACTGATTTATTGTTTATAAAACTATACGGTTTTAAAGGCAAAATGATTAAGTAAATATCATGATATTATGATATAATCGTCTAGCATTGTTACAGAAAATATATCATTATTATTACCTATGCCCTTCCGCTTGTAAACGTTTTTTTTTTTCATTTCTGAGAATACTTCTTTGGTCAATAGTTTCTTTTAATTCTTTTCCATATTCTATCATAACTTGCCGTTTTTCACTGTTTCTTTTTGCTTCAGCTATTTTCGATTGTTCGTTGCTTTGTAATATCTGAAACGAGGATAAATTACCAATATAATACATTTGCAAACAAATTAAAATTTAGTATTAAAAATTAATATTTACAAACAAATTTCTAGTATAAATTGTCTAGGCCTCTGTGTTCTATGCTCTCCCCATTTCAGGTAACTGAACCAAAATACATCAACAAAGTCTAAGTTTTCCAATCTAAAATATTAAGAACTATTTCAATTGCGCCCGGGTCAGTGGCGTCATTTGGAGAGGAAAGGAGAGGCATATGCCACCGAGGCTTGATTCATGCATTATGTTTTATAATTTTACATTTTTACTCTATACATATTAACTTAAATGAGACATTAATTGGGGTAATATTTAAATAATATTATGGGGAATAAACTAAATCTTCATATAGTAAGTAATATATTTAGGTATTCCTCTACTTAAATATTTATTATTTTATTATTGTTGTTTTTCAAAAAATGGGTTATTTATGAGTTTATGACTATGATAGCAAGTATAAAATGATGTGAGAAGGTTATTTGTATTGAGATAAAAGTTTTTTTTTAGTTTTATTATGGGATAGTCAACATTTTTGCCTCCGTTTCAAAAACTAAAATGACATGTTCGTTAATAAATGAAGACCTTCATATTGATTTTAAACTATCTTTAATCAAAACTTACATTATAAATCTATTAATAAACTTCTTTGATAAACTAAAACATGGAGTACGTAATTTTATCTTTTAAGTGTCAAGCTTACTCTCTGACGACTTAAACTCCTACGTATCCTTAAATTCTTATCCTTTATATTCTATTCTCTATTCCTTAAGCCTATTGCTAATTTCTTTTTGTTTATCTTCTATCAAAGCTACATCATCATGCACAAAGGTGTCGCCTGTTGTCTCCGTGTACTTCGAAGATGGGACGATTAGCCCAAGTTTTGATTAGAACTCCTCATACTATTTGACAACATTTTATACTGGCTGGTCTCATTTAACCCAAAACTAACCTTTCTCTTTTCGCCCGAATTTGATAAATTCGTTTTATCTTTTCATCGAAATTAAATGTACCATTTTCACCCGTGGTTTTACGTTCAATATTTTAGGAGCCATTTATTAAAACTATTTGCACTAATTCGTAAATATTTTTCACTATTTGTATGCATTTGTATTATAGTTTAATTATATTTACAGTCGGGTTTTTGTAGGTATTCTGTAACAATATTGATTTTCGAAATCGACAGAATGTCCATGATTAGGTATAACTATGTAATATGATTGATTATATATTAAAATAGTTGTTTTTGTCTTTCTGTCGGTTCGAAATAATAATATATGAGAGGTTGAAACTGGTTTGGTGTAACTGGTACGAGTTTTGTTTTTTCGCTTTTTGTTTAACTAGTTTATTGAACGTTTTTTGCTCTTTTTTTTTCAAAAATGTATTAATTAATTATTTTACTGAAATGGAGTTCTTAGAAAGTAAACGGGGAGGTCATATGGTGCTCTATAATAACGTTTAATATAATTTTGGTTGAACAAACAAAAAAGTTGATTCCATCTGTTAAAGATGTGGTGCTAAGTTATGTACAGACAAAAACAAATCGTTTATTTCTACAGCTGGAGAACATAATCACGATTCATATTATGATAAATCTAATATTAGATGTCATATAATGAACACAATATAGAAACGAACAGCTTTGGAAGATGTCCATACAAGACCGACAAAATTAGTATTTAAGGTCCAAAATTGTCCAAAATGATGCATTATTTAAACTTAGTTGGTTTTAAACGATTAAGTAAAAATATATATAAAGTTCGTATAAAAGTTCTTTGTTCTAATTCTACAAATATAAATAATGTTATTGCATAGTTATTGTATAGTATATTGACACAGCTGAAATTAAGACTGCACAAGGAGAAAATTTTGTAGTATGTAACAATACAAATAAAAATGTAATATTATTTTCTTGTAAAAGAAATTTATGTTTCTTGAGCAAAGTTGTAAATATATATATATATATGGATTTTACGTTTAAGTAGTCGGCAAGATTTTTTTAAACAATTGTTTACCATACATGATTATGAAAATGAACATTATATACCATTAGTTTTTTTTTTTTTTTGGTTAATAAATCGATCGAAATCTACAAATTCGTATTTAAAATAATTGTTGAAAAATGTAATACACTTGGACTACGTTAAAATGGCGGTTGATTTTAAAAAAGCAATACATAGATCAATAATAAATACATATTTGTCCAGATACAGTAATAATTGGATGCTGGTTTCATTTAATTCAATCGTGATGGAGAAATGTGCAAACATTTTGCCTGGCTACACAGTATAAAAATCACGATTAAGATATTGATAACTGATAAGTAGACACACTACAGTATTACACTTTTTGGCTTACTATTTTAGATCCTGAGCGGAACGAGGAATGTATTTAAATCCTGAAAAGGTTGACGATTGTATTGTTGAAGATTTTTATCTGACTGTCTTCAACATGATAAAATAACAAAATACTGTGATTATTTAACTGACACCTATATTTCCGATGATAGTCTATTCCGTCTAAAGATATGGGTAGCTTACTTTAGAATTAACTAGGACAAATAATGCGCGATAGTAATTTCATGAATTTTGTAATAAAAGTTTTTATTGTAGTCGTCTTCAATAGGTATAGTAATGATTGACCATATTTTAAGGAGTTTAAACTAATGTATACATTAAATTAAATAGTATTAAGTTAAAAAATACGTCCTAGGATAATGGAGACGGATGCAGCCACTGTTATAGGTAATTTAATGTATATCTTGTGAGCAACAATAAACCATTGCTAACGAAAAATCGATTTTAAGCGCAGTCTAGTTGATAGTAATGCTTTATCAACAATATATATGTCATATTATGGTAAAATAATTAAATAGGCAATTTATATTTGTTTAATATTGTACTGATTTTCCCGTTTTCCATACAGTTTTTCCGGTGTTTCCATGTTTTCCCCTGGTTTTGCATATTTGTTCAGAAAACTTATAATAAAATCGAAAAGTTACCTCTTTAAGTACCTCCTCAGTCAGATTACCTATTAAAAATAGTGCTATCATTGTAAATCAGAGCCAAATCGCTGGTAGAAAAGTTGTCTACAGAAATTGTAATGTTTTATTAATATATTTCGTACATTTTCTCGTTTTTTCTGTTTTTCACGATTTGTCCCATTCACTGGGAAAATTCCTGCGAAAATTGAAAAATGACCTCCCTAAAGTACCTTCTCAGTCAAATTTCTTTTTTCAAAAAAAGTGATATCATTTTAAATTGGAGCGACATTGCTGGTATAATTTTTGTACACAGTAAATAAAAAAAAAATAAACATCTTTGTAAAACCAATACATTCTTCGCTACACTCAGAATCTAAAATATCCTAAAATCAATCAAAAGCACGTGAATTAAAAAATAGAGAATACATTGAATTATACAAAAGTGGACAAATGACTCAATTTGAATTTATTAAATAAATTTCATATAAATATATACATTATACACATATAAATACATAAATACAACACGAGCACAACTGAAATATGTTATTTTTAACATTATGAAAAATTATAAAATAATAAATACCTAAATTTAACATTTTAAACACAATAACTTTTGGAGAGTAAAATAAGTTCCCTCTTTGTGATGCTTTCTGAGTAATGCTTAATAGCTTTATCAAAATATTTTATATAAATTGTGAAAAATGTATAAGAAGTAATAAAAATCGTCCCCAAAATGTTGAACGAAAAATAAAGGGCGAAAAGAGAAAACAAATTTGAACTAGAATTTGACCTTTATAATATACATCATATAGACAGGAGCAGTGGCAGATATAAGATTTTTTTTGAAGGGTTACCCAAAATCTCTCCTATTAATTTTGAACAATAAATTCTAAATAAAGGTTCAGATACGATTAAAATCAAGTATCAATACTGTCGAATATCATAATAATTGGTTTAACCGCAATTTGAACAACGATGTATAATAATCATTAACCCATATTATTACAACTACAAATATAATATAACTGTTAAAAGAGGGTGAACGCTTTCGTCCATCCTTAAATCCGCCACTGGATAGGAGCAATAAGACAGTAAATATATTACAGGAGGTGGCTTAGTATTAGTATCTTAGTAGATAAAAGTTTTGATACCGAAGTTATATACAAGCGGATAACTTTGAACAATTATTTGTATTGGTGAATAAGGAAACTATTTTAAATTTATTATAGGAGCATGTTATTTACCATCTAGCAGTTCATCTAGCACTTATAGTATTCACATTGAGAAAACTGAGTGATTACTAAACAATTTTTTTACTCGTAATAAACTTAATATTATACGGTGATACAGAGTCATGCCAAAAGGGGGGGGGCAATGGGGCAAGTGTCCTAGGGTGGAAAATATTGTACCATTTTAAAGGGCGGCAAAAAAATTAGTACTTTCCCACTTTTCCCAATAGGACTTTGAGTTCGTTACAGTTTAATTTTCAATAATAGAAAGTATAAAATTAAATATTTCGTCAATGAAAAACTTGTTGTGATTTTATGGTTATGGACTCGGTGCAAACATCTATTGGTAATGACCAGATTGCTGAGAGGATAACTGGTGGAAGTGTGGAACACTGAAATGTATATTCCGATAAATTGATAACAAAAATGTAATTTTTAAATATTTTCTCAATAATATACTACTATCAAATATTTGTGATTGAAAGGAAAAGTCTCTACCTGCTGGAATTTATTAGAACTGCTCCTCTACCGGGAAAGATGTAGGTATGTTTGATTACATTATATTGAGTGGGTACTGACTTCTGAGTTTCTTTATAATAACCTCGTTTCGCTGTAATAATTATAAATATAGGTTTATTTGTTAATATTATGGATGACCATAATTAATCTATATTCTTGTTAAATGAATAATAAAAATGTATAAATTAATTACAAACTTGTATTGAACTTACATAATACAGATATACAATATAGTGTTTAAAATGTACTTACTTCGTGAGGTAGCTCCGATTTTTAAGTGTAGTACCTTTTCTGATAGGAAATCGTTGTAAGGAGGAACTTTAGAGGGGTTATTTTTCGATGTTCTTAGTTTTCTCATCAAATGTAAAAGAACCGAAAAAAACTCAGGAAAAATGGAAAAATGTTCGAAATATATTTTTAAAATACGATGATTTTTTTCCTGTCAACAACTTTTCTACAAGCAATATTTTGCTCCAATTTACAATGATAGCACTTTTTGTGAAAGGAAATCTAACTAGGAAGGTACTATAGAGAGGTAATTTTTCAATTTTTCTAAGAATTTTCCTAGAAAGTCTGAAAAACCGGGGAAAAATTGAGAAAAACGGGAAAACCGGTACATTATTAAAGAAAATATATAAAGCCTATTTAATTATTTTACAACGATATGGCATACATATAGATATTGTTTTACATTCAATTTCCCCTCTAACTTCTTTACTTCTCGCCTACGTCAGTAATCCACACACGTGCGAAGTATATCACTTTTTTTATTAAAAATATGAGTAAAAAATGTGCAGATTACGGGGGAAATTTAATGTATATCTGTAGGAAACGATTAATCATTGTTATATATATATATCATATAGCTATAATATAAATATGCTATATTATATATTTTGTATTAAGGTAAAATAATTAAATAGGCATTATATATTTTATTTAATGATATTTGTCTAATATTGTACCTATTTTATTATTTTCCTACATTTTTTCCTGGTTTTTCGTGGTTTTTCCAATTCACTGGGAAAACTCCTGGGAAAATCATAAAATGACTGTCCTGAAGTACCTTCTCGATAAGATTTCCTTTTACAAAAATTGCTATAATTGTAAATCGAAGAATAATTGCTGGTAGAAAAGTTGTCCACAGAAAAAATAAAAATAAAAAATAAACATCATTCTAAACTAATACATTCCTTGCGCCACACAGAATCTTAAATATAGGATAAAATGTATATAGTAAGCGAATTTTGTAAAGTATGTAAGACAATTTATCAATTTCCGATAGGCTTAAGCTACAAGCTTAAAGAGAAAGGAACGGGGAAGAATAAACATTATGAAGCTGTGTAGCATGAGACTGCAAATAAATGCAATACAAAATGTGTGCCATTATGAACTAAAAGTATATGGACAAACGTTGAAAAAGGTATTAACTACAATATTGTATTGTTATTTTGTTATATTGTGTTAAATATCAATTAATATTAATTAAGTATCAACTATAATAACAAAGAAGACAGTTGTTTAAAACTTGAAACAAATCTATGTTTAATATGGTATATGTTAATACTGAATAAAAATGATACCTTTCGTGATTCTATAAAATCAATTTCTTTCTCTTTCTTCAATTGTTCTATTTTTAAATGCAATTGTATTTCATTTTGATTCATCATTTCGTTCTGAATTAGAATTTTTGCTTCTTTCTCGTGTTTCGCTGCTTGATAATTAGCGTTTAATCTTTGTTCGTCTATAGGTTGATTATGAATGTCACTATCCTTACATGAATTTCTCTACAGAAAAAAACAAAAAAAAAAACAAAATATAAAGTTATTTTGTTTTTTTTTAAACAAAGTTGGATGATCAATTTACCGTCGATAACTTAAGATTAATTAAAAAATTATAGATTTTGTCTTTTTCTTCTTGCTTTTTTTTTTTAATTTCTTCTCTGCATTTTTTTCTTTTTTCCAAGTTTATTAAATATTCTTCAATACGTCTATAAACGTTAAATTACAGTTAAAGTACAATAATTGTATTTATAGCGATGTACTAATATTATGGTATAAAGTTATTTCTTCAACTTACTTATCTTGTTTTTCAGTTTCTTTGCGTTCGTTTTCTTGTCGTTCGTTTTTAATTTGAATTAATTCATCATTTTCTTTTCGAAAAACTTTCGCTAATGCTTTTCTTTGCTTCAAACCGTTTTCTTTGGGATTTATAGAATCAACTGCAGTTGGCGTCCTTGGTGATATATTTAATAGTTTCTCAGCTCTTTCTCTTATTTGCTCTAAAATTGCATTTTTATATTCTAACTTCATTTGTTTTTTCCGATTTTGTAATTCTGTTTCCGATTTATCCAAGTTTTTTGAAGCTTCTATAATTTTTAAATCACTATAATAATTTCTGGCCTTTTCTTCTTTTTTTATAGCTTCTTTTTCTTTTATTTGGTTTTGTATTATTTTGGTTGCTTCAGCTGTTCGTATATGTTTCTCGGCACACCGAAGTTCCAGACAATTGTTACGTATTAATTGACTACGAGTTTATATGGATATTTATATTTGAATTGAAACGCCATTGAAATTTAAAATATTATATTGCTTACTTAGTTTTCAATTCAACCATTTCTTGATGTTTTATATCTGCCATGATTTGAGCGAGTTTTTGCTCTTGCTCCAATTCAGCAAGTTCTCTGGCTTGTGATTCTTTAGCCTGAAATTGATACTTGTCGCTTATCAGCACGATTAAACATATACTTATTAAACGACGAGCTACGATAAGAACATAAATTTGGTCTTCGATAAACTGTTGTCAAGAAAAGACAACTAGCGCTCATAACGGACTATAATCAGACATAATCTTAGGGTTCGTGATTATCACTATTTATTTATCGTCACTATGTCAGTTCATTTTAAAGTTACTATAGAGCGCGCAGTAAGACATTTTTTATCAGTTAAAAGTAGAAGACATTTCGGGGGTATCGTTATCGCATTTCGTTGTGTAACCAGTATATCTTTAATCATGCTTATCAGTAACATTATTTGCCAATATGCCTGATTTTAAATTTATACTGGTGTTAAGTATACCGACTTACCCTTTGTATATCTGTAAACAGTTTTAACTCTTGGGACTCAGAAAACATACGTTTTTGTAAATGGATTTGATCTGCCTTTCGACAAATTCTAGTTATTTCCTTACATCGTGCATCTTGAGCTTTCTGTATCGCTATAATCTTTGACTCGGTATTTTGCTGTTGACTCATAGTAAAGAAAAGAAAAGAAAAATATTTTATTTATTATTATTTATTATAGATGTATATTATATTTTAATATAAATATGTTGTCTTTAAAATGGGATCGTTGCATCAACTGATATAAATGGCGTAAATAAATATTAGAGTTATGTAAGTTGTTATAGTTACTCAAGGCTGGGCAAGTTAATAATATTTTTTAACTTAGTTAAGTTAAATTGATTTTTTTTTCAAATAAATTGAAAATTAAGTTAAAAGATATTTTGAATATACCAATTTAATTAACTCTTTCACTGCTACGCCCGCATATTTGCGGGCAATGAAAACATTCCGTATGTGCTATGTCCGCATACATGCGGGCAATCAAAAATAACCTATAAAAAAAAAAGCGAGGAAATTGATATCGGTTGTGTTATGATCTACACGCGTTCCTGAATTCAACGGCATTTCCAGAATTGTGATATCACTAACATTAAAAGAGATATTAAGTACTGTATATTTCGAACCTCTTACGGGTTCTCAAACACTGAATTCACGTACTATATCATTGTATTCATGGTTGTCTTGTTTTTGTTTACAAGGCGTCTTGTTTGTATATTTGTAGTGTTGTAGTATTGGAAAAAAAACAACATAAACCATTTTACAGACAAGACCATAAACTATATTATAATAATATAATATAAGCGCTTTGCTCAAGTTTGGAAACTCTTGGCCTGCAGATATTCATTGAGCTCTAACTCTGTAAGTTTTGGTCCAAATTTGTTATTTTTAATTTTTTCATTTTTAGAATGTCAAAATCTATTAATAATAATAATAATAATAAGGTGATTAAAATGTTTTAATTTTTTTCAAAAATCGTCAGCATAGGACAGGTTTTGTGATTTTTGTACTTAACAGTGAAATGGTTAAAAATGATGTTAAAATATATCATTAACTTAACTTCAATTAATTAAGTTTTTTATAAAAAAAAATCATTGATTAGGTATTAAAGATTAAAATACCTAATGAAAGTGAATTTTAAAACCTGTAAAGTTTTAGCATTTATAGAACTCTTATTAAAATTCACTTAAAATTAAATTTGATTGTAAAAGTTGTTACGGTAGTATTTAACATTAATTATTTTATTATATACAAAATAAAAAACGTAAATAAAGAAGTTAAAAAGAAAATACCTTTAATTGGGCAGGAGTATATTTAGTAGAATTGCATTTAACAGGATTTTTTGTCAACTATGACAAGAAATCCTGAATCAATGGAAAAACATAAAACAGTACTACACACAGTATGAAAAGAAAGTATGGAGAGTATAAAAGAATGTGTTCGATCATAAGGGTTTTATGATTTCAAACTTCACGCAAATTTAACGGCTCAATTATAATTAAATAGGGTTCGGATTTGAAAGCATGATAATTAGTAATATAACGACGTCCTAGGATAATGGGGACGGATGCAGCCACTGATATAGGTAATTTAATGTATATCTGTTAGCAACGATTGTCATGTTTTGATTTTCCCAGGAGTTATCCGGTAAAAACATGGGAATACCTGAAAAACGTAAGAAAAACGGGAAAACAGGTACAATATTAAAAAAGTATTGTTAAAGAAAAGATATAACACCTATGTAATTATTTGCTAATTACATAGGTAATTTTATTAACTTTATTATTATGTAATATGACATATTATTATATATTGTTGGCAAAGGAATACTATCAACTGAACTTCACTCAGAATCGTGTTTTCGTTAGAAATGGTTGTACATTAAATTTCTCTTATTCTACCTTCCAAACTTCTCATCTTCAGTGGCACATCTAAGTGCGAAGATGCCCGGATTTTTAAAATTTGTATACGTTGTTTTATAATTTGTTCATTTTTGTTGGTTTTAATTATTTAGTAATTATGCTATTCACTTTCAAAATATTCTTCGTGCAAAATATCCTCTGTTAAAAAGAACCTACTTTAACAATTTCCTCGTTACAAATATTCAAATTAAAAATATTCCATATCTTGTAAACTTGATTCCCGTGTTTGTAGCATTTCTGAGTTGTTGGGACCTTGCTGTTGATTTGTTAATGATCATTGTTCTAATAAATTGTTCTTAATCAGTCGTACAAAATACCTTCTCGATAGTGAGTTGATTTCCTTATTTTTTCTATTCCAAAAATTATACATTAAAAATATGTATGATAACCAATCAATACATATATTATTTATCAAATATCCTCCAAGTTATCAAAATATTCTTAAGCTAAACATTTTTTAATGAATTTATTTTATATTCTATATTTATTTTCTAATTCTCTAGTTACTCCATACAACCACCTCAACTCTACTAAACTCACACTCTGTTTTGTTTTTTAATACCTACCTTTTAATTTCAATAGTAATGGAAAAATTATTTTCTAACAAAAATTTTAGATTCTGAATTTAGCGAAGAATGTATTGGTTTTTCAAACATGTTTTTATATATATTTTTTAATTATTTTTTTATTATGTGAATATTTTTTCTACCATAAAGCTAATTCTGATTATCAAGTATAGCACCTATTCTGAAAGGAAATGTTCTCTGGATGGTTCTTTAGACAGATTATTTTTTGAAATTCTCATTGATATTCGAGATAATGAGGGGAACCTGGTTTTATAATTTAAAAATAAGGTTATCATTGGCAACCGTTTTTATTTAGTTTTTGTTATTATAATTTTTTTATTATTTTAATCGTTTTCAAAAAATCATTATTGGCATGGAAACTTACATTGTTGTAATAATTTTACCTTAATATGACATATACCATATATTGTATTGATGACAAGGCAACACTATCAACTGAATTCAGTCGTTTTTTCGTTAGAAATGGTTTATCGTTGCTTTCAGATGTGCATTCAATCCTACCTTCTCAACTTTCCACCTACAACAGTAGCTGTATCCAAGTGCGAAGTAAGTTCGTCGGTTTTTTTTTAAATTGCGTTAACAACTATTGATAGAATAAATTACTAATTCAATTCTATACTATAATAATTATATATTTATTTTGTAATAAAAACTATTTAAATTATAATTAAAACCGTTTTAATAAATAAAATACAATTTTTCTTTATGTTTTTAGTTTTTGTTCTAAAAATATGAATTAAAAATAAAAATAGCTGTCCTAGGATAATGGGGAGGAGTGCAATCACTGTTGTAGGTAGGAAGTTAGGAAGATAGGATATTGACGAGAATTTAATATAATCTGTAATCATCGATTAACTATTGCTAATGAAAAACGATTCTGAGTGGAGTTCAGTTATTAGAGTTGATTTATCAACACATAATCTTATTATAACAGCTGTTATTTTTTCCACATTTTTCATAGTTAACATAAAATTTAATTTTTATATTTTTATGTTAAATTCTAAAGTTTACGTCAATTCTACTCGTCTACTCAATCTGTGCTTGTGTACCTGTTTGCATGCTGATTCGACTTTCCATTTCTATGTTCTTAAAATGTTCAATATTACGTGGGTTTGCATTATTATTTGTTATCAGGCTCCATCGTTTTTCACTGATCAGCTATTTGTCATCCGCTGTGCTGCTCACCTGGTTACGTTCCGCGTTTGCCTATTTTTCTTTGGTGTATTTTTATTGCATCTGTGACTTCTAAGAATTATTTCATTATTTATTCTGCTTGATATATAATGATTGCATTCCTAAATGTATAAGGTGTAATCAACTGCAATTATTCGTCGTTCTATAAAATCTTGCCATTTTCCATCACTACGTTTTTTTCTCGTGCCTGACTATATTCACACTTATTCTTCATCATGCTACTCAAGCCACCATTGTCAATCTCTACGATGCTACCTCACAACTCTTTATCCGCTTCTTTAAACCAAGCACCGCTTATTCCCAGTCAATAATCGTCTTATCGTAAAAGTTCCCATCGCCGAATTGCGCGCCGCTCAAACACATCTCATGAAAAAACATGATGCTCTTGCTGTTGAACTAAGTCTCGCTTGACAATTTTTCGTTACAGTTTGGTACCATTTCTTCGGGAATTACGGACTTGAATAACAAAGTTAGTGTGCTTGACTCTCGTATTGCCATCCTTGAATCAAATATCCATTTCAGTTCTAAATTCTCGCTCGTAACGAATGTAATCTAAGAGTTTGCCGAGTGGGACAAATTTAAGCGAATATCATCATGCGTGAATTGTCTGAATAGTCTTCAACTAATCTCTCTTTCAGGATCATGGACGATAAGTGTACTATCTCTGAACTCCTTGCACTACTAACCACGGAGGTGCCTGAGTTCAAACCTATTCGTCTGGGAAAAATTATCTCTTCTACTCCAAGTTCAGTTAAACTCATCTTCAACTCTCGTGATGTAGCTGTTCATGTTCTGCCATCTTATCATTCTTAAACCAACTCTTCTATCAACCTTTCATTTTCACTGTACAAAAATCTAGAACAAAAACCTCCATCGCCTCCAACCGTCTTCAAGCATATTAAATCGTACCAGATATATCGAGTCATTTATATTTTACCATAACTGCCGTGGACTCAGTACAAAACGTTTTACCTTTTATTGTAATACCTCCCAGTTTAACCATTTATTTATTGTTACACCGGAACTTAGTTAAATAATTATTTATTTTAAATAAAGCTAGGTCTATCCACCTATAATGTTTTTAGATGCATTCGATCCCCACTTACCAGTCATTGTGAATATGGCGGTGGTGTGCTTTGTTAAGAACCCCTAGTATTCGAGTATTTAAGAACTATTGTTTTAGCATTAAGAACTTAGTATAAACGAATGTATTGTATTATATATATATTACATACATTTTATACATTATTATACATTTTGTTATACATATCGTCTGGTGGTTCGCATGCCGTCGATAAAGACGACGTACGACAGTCCTGAATCCGACACGCAGAACATTAACTTTTGTATTACTATTTACTAAATATTATATTTTATTAATTTGTAGTGTAATTGAGTGTTTTTCATTATAAAGTACTACTTCGCGACT